CGCAGCCGCGGCAGGCCTGGCTCCTGGCGCTGGCCGCACACGCTGCCGTGCTCCCCGCTGCATTTTGCCGTCTCTTCTGTGACATTTTATTACAAACTAATTAAATTAGACCCTCCCTCCCCCACACAGGCTGAGCGACAGCTGCACCGCACGCTCCCGCTCCCTTGCACTCCGGCTTACTCAGCGCTTGAGTAATCGGCGCCCGCCTCACGCTGGACAAACCCCGTCCAACAGTGGGTTCGTCGCCCTCCCCCGTTTCACACCGTCCCACCTCTTCTGTGACATTTTATTACAAACTAATTAAATTAGACCCTCCCTCCCCCACACAGGCTGAGCGACAGCTGCACCGCACGCTCCCGCTCCCTTGCACTCCGGCTTACTCAGCGCTTGAGTAATCGGCGCCCGCCTCACGCTGGACAAACCCCGTCCAACAGTGGGTTCGTCGCCCTCCCCCGTTTCACACCGTCCCACCCGCCTGCCCCGGCCCCCCTGCTCCCGGGTGCGGGGGGGTTCGCGTTCCAGGAGAGCCTCGTCACTCGCTCGGAGCTCTGTGCTTGGAAGCCTTCCCGGGGAGCGTGGGAACGTCAGAGCTGCAGAGACAGCGGCTTGCCCCGGCGGGCTGGCCGCAAACTCCCCTGAGTGCAAGGGCTGGCGCGGACTGCTCCCAGCTCCGCCAGGCCCGGAGCGGGGTCTCCGGCACAGGCCTGCCCCAGGCGGCAGCCCGGGTCCCGCTGCACTGGAGCAGGCCTGGGCCTGCAGCAGGCAGGAGTCCGGCAGGGAGGGGCTGGGCCATGCTCAGGCCAGGCTGGCCTGCCCGACTGAGTGCTGCAGTGCCCAGCAGGAGGGCCTGGGAGAGGAGCACCGGGCTGGCCAGGGCGGCTGCTTGGCTCATGGCTGCCCTGTGGCCTGGGCCTTGCCCCGCTGCCCAAGCGTGGTTTCTGTCCGGCACTGGCCCTGGAGGGCGGGCTGGGGCAGGGGCTGGAGAGGACAGCAGAGTAGGAGGGAGTGAGCAGGAGGCAGGGCAGCAGGACTCTGCTGTTGGTCCACAAAGGGCTGCCCAACAAGGTGCCACCCTGCTGCCTTCCCCCTGCAGCCCCAGCTGCCACGGCACAGGGGCAGCGGGGGCCACCGGTGGCAGGGCGGAGCTCAGCCCCAGCCTTTCCCTGGAGAAAGCCAACCTGGCTCCTCACCGGCTGCAGGACCAGGGAGGCCTGTGGCCCGGGGCACCTGGAGGGCCAGTGCCCTGCACCCATGGGTGCACTCCCAGGGAAGGCGGGTGTGGGGGCTGCCCATGCCTCTCCTTCCTCTCCG